TATATATATCAGTTATTATTTAACAAGCAGTACAATGCAGAGTAAAATAATTTCACACAGATGCAGGTAAACTGAGTAAAAATGATAAAAATGACCATTTAAATTGCATTTATGCAACTTCAGAGCTACCATAGTATTATATAGAACCTGAATGCTAAACACCAAAATCCAGGGTGCAAGGATTTATGCCAGTATTCCTAATACTCACTGTTTCTGGACCCAGATGATATTGTTTTTCTTACCTACGCTGGGCTCACTGCCATAGTCAGTATCCTACATACTAAATGGACATTTTGAATTGAATTTGCTTTAATCACAGCATGGGATATGCTGGAAGAAGAGGGTAAATAATAAAAAGAAGATAAAAGGACCTCAGCTTCTGCTTTGATCTGGTTACTATAACATATTTAATGTAGACCAAATGATTACGATTTATAATATTCACACACAGGCTTTATCTGACCATGTAATTCATCTTAGATATCATACTACAGGCTGCAGTGAACACGTGATTGTGAGTTCCATACAATAGATACTGTGTCACTTCTGGCTGGCCAATCAAACACATTCTTGCCTCTTAAAAGTGGAGCAGCTATCAGTAACCTTCATTTTACATGAGAATCTCACCACAATGGTGTCTTGTGTGTTTGCCTTTTGTCTTCTGTGCCTGTTCTTTGGCAGAATGGGTAAGTTCCATTATCATTATTATGTCTCTCTATTAAGGTGTTGTGAGATCATTATATTGAATTGATTCAACATTTGCTTTTTCTTCGATTCCACTACAGTTCAGATGACAGAGTCGCAAATGTTCTCATCTGTTCATCCAGAGTCTCGTTTCATATCAGCTCAAGTTGGTGGAAACCTGACATTAAAATGTTTCCATGATGGTGACAGGTCTGCAAGACTTTACTGGTTTAAGCAAAATCTGGGACAAAAACCAAAGATCATCTCTCACTTTTTCAAATATAATTTGAACAACTCTTCTAATGAAGAGCTCAAGAACAACCCACGCTTCACACTGGATACACAAGACGGCACATATCACTTGACAATCAGAGATTTGAAATGTTCAGACTCAGCTATTTACTACTGTGTTTACTATTTATACACTTTAACCTTTTTAGAGACCATCATCGTCAGTGTAAAAGGTTCAGGTGTGAACATCAAAGCTGTGGTCCAGCAGTCAGCATCTGAGACCATCCAGCCAGGAGGCTCCGTGACCCTGAACTGTACAGTACACACTGGGACCTGTGATGGAGAGCACAGTGTTTACTGGTTCAAAGACTCAGAC